CTCTGCCTTCTAACCTCTCACTATTTTTCAAAAGCATCTCCAATATTGATCCTAGTCTTACTACATTTCTGGTCGTGGAGCTTATAATAAAAATGTTTTTTTTATGTTGAGTAGAATCAATTATATCGGAGCAAATTCACTTGCCCGCTTCCATCGCTGCAACACTTTTTGCAGCGATGGGCGAGGGGCGCATGGGGGTGCCTTAAAACCTTAAAGCCCACCATCTCTGGTCCAAACAAAACCATTTAGGACCAGAATCTAAAATTACATACTGGCTGCTGCAATGATGTCAGAGACACCAGCACTTCAACAGAGCATGTTTCCTTAATGTCTGATCATATAGTAAGCTTAAGATATCTTACAGATTAGTTCTTTAAGGGAAATAAAAACAAATGCACCTTTGAAACTGATAACTCAATAATAAGACTGTAAGATGACATGTGTTTTCTTCAGTGATGTGTTAGTTCTAATAAACCCGTCTGCTGCCACATTAAAGGTATACTGTATGAAAGACCAATCTCAGTAAATACCACCTGCTGTGTAAAAAAAAAAAAGGTCCTTGAGATCTAGTTTGTGCTGAAGCAGGTCAAAATCTGTCTCTGAGGGACGGAGATCTGCTCAGCAAACGTGCAGCAGGGCCCGGTGTGAAAATGTGCACATCTCTGCATCTTGTGAAAAAAGCTGGTTGAGCTGTTTTTAAATGAGGATTAATAGACTTGCATCAAAGAAAGAGGACCAAAGAACACATGTGATGTATGAAGAAGTCAGCAGGAATAGCAGGCATGGTGCTTGCTTTGTTAAACATGAGGTTAGTGTGTGTGTGTGTGTGTGTGTGTGTGTGTGTGTGTGTGTGGTGTGTAAAGGTCTGGTTGATGTCTGTAAACTCTAAAGGACACTGTAAAAAAAAGAGAAGGAGATTCAACACATCACAACCTGAGTGACATCTACAAACCCTAAACACAGCAACATGCACATCAGGCAGCCGGTGATTGCCGCTTCCTGTTAGACAGTCATGCAGATTTATTACAGAAAACCCTTATGGGATCCTGAGACATTCATTAAGCACCTGAAGAAAGTGTTTGTATGAGTGTTTGTGCTTGTGGTACACACTGTGGTACATTATAGCCTGAACCTGAACTATGTATGTAGATCAAGTCCCTTATTTGTCACTAAGGTTTCCCAAAATCTGGTCTGTAAAGCCTGGAGAATATAACTTTGTTTTAACGTTTAAAAAAAGACTATAACTGTGTGGCAAATGAAAGAAGATTGGTTTATGATTATGAGTAAAGTGCAGCTGGTCTACAATTCTTGTAAAAAATGTTTTGCTTGGGTCAATACAAGGACTGAAGAAGTGTTGCTATTCTCTCATTTATTTGTTCCTCAAACTTCCAACACATGAATGAAAAAAGACAAAAGTTGTTCTGAAAGTTCTGAATTAAAATTATAAATCAAGAGAGCAGAATAGGCAGTCTCACAACAATCAAACAATCATAAAAGACCCTTTAATTAGATACAAAGGCTCAGAGAGATAATCCTTCTGTTCCTTGAAACTGCAAACAACTCAACAACATGAAACATCACTACAGTGACACACAAGACATTTTTTTTCTTAGGGGGGTTAGCATCCAAAAGCATTTTTGAACCACTACATTACTTGATTAAAAAACTATATTTTGGGGCGTTGGTGGTGCAGTGGTTAGTGCGCGTGCGCCATGTATGGAGGCTGTACTCCTCCAAGCGGGCTGCCCAAGATCGAATCCCACCTGTGGCTCCTTTCCCTCATGTCGTTCCCCACTCTCTCTCTCCCTGATATCCAACTCCTCCCACTGTCCTATCTCTCCATTAAAGGCACAAAAAGCCCCCCCAAAAAACAAAAACCTTGTTACTTTATAACTATATTATTAGTGCTGTTTAGGATCAATACAGCAGAGGCACAAGCAACTGCAGAAACAAGCTTAGCACTCCTGGAAAAAAGTTTGAGATGTAGTTGAGTAATAAGAAAACAAAAGTATAACCACTGTTTTCACAAATGATATCTGTATGTATACTTTGAAGAAAATTCCAAATAAAAAATATCATACTTGGCTATGACAGTCTTTGTTTTCCAGCTAAAGCAAGATATGTCATTGTAGCCAACGTAAGCCACTATGGCTAACTCTAGTATGACCACAAGTCTGTTTGTATTGTCTTTATTTTAGAGATAGGACAGTGAATAGAGTCAGAAACCAGGGAGAAAGAGAGTTGTGTACCTCATGCAGGGAAGGAGCCACATTTTGGACTTTGAACCCAGGCCGTCTGCTCCTGAGGACTTCAGCCTCTGCACATGGGTACCAGGCCTCCAGCGCCCCTAGATGTCTTTTTTGAATCCCTATTAGATCTGTTGTATAATAGATAATGTGTAATGTCCTCCATCAAACTCAAGAGACGTAGACTTGGTTCAAAAGTGTAATTCATTCAACATGAATGTGCCGATTCTATATGCAGACATTTACCGTGTGTGGAAATCAAATCAGTGTTGCAAACTAAATATTCTGAATATCGTGTTATTGATTTCAGCCGCCGGGCCCGGTTCTCAGTAAATTACTTCCCATATAAATAATGGAGTGTATTACTGAACTTGGCTGGAGGGGCTCACTTCACTGAAGAAGGTAATTAATGTGGCGGTGAAATATACCACGCTACGGTGTAGCTGTTGTGAGCTGCAGGGAAACATAGTGCACACTGTGTGTCAGTGGTCAGATCGATGCTCGTTTTTATACATCAGTCATTTCACGTAACATTCGATTAAAAGTATTGATTACAAGATTTGGTTAAATGGATCGCTTCAAAGGTCCATTAACCGGAAAAGAAGCACTTTGTAGACTCCTGCTCTTTAACCGTTGGACAAAGGTAACCTTGTGTGAACAGTTGTAATAAAGACAAATGTTGATTGTTTGAATTGATTTGATGCATATTTATTATCTAAAAAAATGCTATTGTGCCTGCTGATGGTTATCCACCCATCCATTCATTATCTATAGCCTACCGCTTTTCCCGTCCAGCTGTCATTGGGCGACAAGCGGGGTACACCCTGGACTGGTCACCAGTCAATCACAGGGCTGACATATAGAGACAGACAACCAGCCACACTCACATTCACGAGGATTTTGTATCTGGTTAGGAAACAGACTGAAGCCTCTCTTACAAAAGCAGAAGAGACCATCTGTGAGAATATTGATTATGACAATATATAACTGTTTTTAATGCTGTAAACGGCGTCAGACCAGGCGGTAAACACCATAATGCTGAAACACCCTTTCTTTAAATACATATTCCACAGAAAAGATTTACAGCGTGCGCGATGTGAGACTCTTAAGAGACAACAGGATGAGATTTTCCAACAGGTAACTCTACTTACACATGGACAGGATTAGATCAACTGTGTCCCCAAGGGGAGCCCCACACATTGAAAGTTCCTCAAAGGAGCTTTAACGGCTGTCCCTCATGAAACACCCACATTACTCCGAGACAGGAGGTCATGAATGCTGACCTGAGCATCTAGACAAACACTTAATCTACAAATAGTAAAAAAAAAAACTCAGCTTCAAGTTAAGGTTCTTTGTTCCAGACTTAATTTGAACACACGTTGGTGAGTATTATTTAAGTAAAAGGGTAAAAAAGTACTCATAGTACAATATTTGAATTACAACTGGAGCTACATACATCAAGATAATGAGTACAGTTACTAAGGTTACACATTTGTTTCCTGCCTATTATTTTGTCAGTGAGACTGGATTTCGAAAATAGCAAACCCTCCAGGCCCCAGACCCCCAAGGGGCTCCCACATCCCAATATTCATCATGTCAGTGAGTCTGTAATAATACCACACTTTAACACAGATTCTAATAAAGAATAATATGTAGCCTATGTCTTGTAGAGGGTCTCTGTGTCGAATATTTCCTTGCTGTAAATTCATCACAGTCATTTTACCCTGGAGGCCATCTAGTAGATTCATTTGGGGATGTCACTAAGGAATCAAAGCTCTGCTGCTGTTTCTCTTATTAGCCAAAAAATGCATAAAATGTCAGTGAATGTATTTTTGGGATGTTGACAGCTCTGACTCTTACTCACACACTGTCCTCGGTCAGTCGTGCAGGTGATTCTACTGCCATCAAGTGGTCACACATCTTCAAACATGCTTTACAGAAAGTATCCTCACCTCAGAGGAAAGGTTTGAAAAGAAACACAGAAGCCTTTACGTGTTAACAGCAAACATTTTTGACCGATTTGACGTGTCCAAAGTGTCTCAACTTGTTTGGCTTCATGCTGTCACAGCACTTCACAAGTCACCACACACTGTAGGCTATGTTTACAGGTGAAGCCAGGATGAGATATGACTCGTCATATTTTCTCATCTCAGTTGTAGACGTTGTGACATTTCATGGAGATTCAACATTAGGCGACTTTTATCTGGCAGGCCTTTCACAAAACTGACCAATACTTACAGGCAGTGCAGAACTGAGTGCCTTGTTTTGATTCAGCCAGCACCCTTGAGAAAACCTTAAATAAATGGTCCTTAAACTACAAGATGTAGTGAGCAGATATAATTTGTTTTCCTAAACACAACAGTAACTCCTGCAGGAACCTGAGATACATCCTTTATTAGTGAGGTAATTAGTTAGATGAGGCTTTTATATGACAATATGGTACAAAATAAAGTCATAATAATGATTTTTTTCATGGGAGAATTCATGCATTTGTATCCCACATCAAGTCAATTAACACTAAAAAATGTCCTGTTTGTATATTGCCTTTTATAATAATAAAAATGAGTTGGGCTTAAAATGAAGATTTGCTGAAATAAGGTGAAAATTAAGAGACTATCGACAGAAAAGCAAACACATTTAAAAAAAACTGACCAGATATTGTAGATATTTGTATAAGTGACCAACCTGCAGGTATTTGAGCCTCTACATGTAGTTTATAAATGACTGACAGACCAGAGAAAAACCACACAGAAGTTGCTGTTTTTGACAGATGGTGTTTATTCTCACCAGGCATCTGACATTAGAATCGCTACAGAGTTGGCCATTCGGGAATGGCTTCTAAAACTCCAGAGAGAGAAAGAGAGGGGGAGACGCCTGGGAAATGTGTAACAGGGCGAGCATTACAAACAGAAGAACAGAGAGAAGAAAAACGTGTAGGCCACAAAACACAATCTGCCAGCTCACTGGAGGAAAAACTCCGTCCACAGTTTTTAATCTGGTCCGCTCAGCTCTCACGTGGGACTGTTTCCAAATCTGTGGTCCCACACAACAAACATTCGGTCTGATTTATTTTTAAATACATCGTTTACATACATTAGATATGTACTCAAATAATGCCAACAGCGGCTGTTTCATCGAACATTCAAAAAGTGACAGCACACAATCGCGACAGTTGCATCATAAGAGACGGCGAGTGTCTCCGGGAAGGCGCCGCGAGGATCAGAACTGGGAGACGGGCGAGGGGTTATTCTCACAACATGGGGCAAAGTCTGAAGGCCTCTCCTCTTCAAAAAAAAAAACAAAAAAAAGATATTATCACATTTATATACAAACACATTGCTGGGTAGCCTACTGATTGGACCTCACCCGGAGTCCATGATGAGAGAGCCCTCTTATAGGGTTGAAGAAGGTGAGCACACGACTTAGCAGCACGGGAGTTAGACGACATGTCAGTAGTGAAGGTTCAGTGAGCGCTAACCGCAACATGTGAGAGTGAGCACACGTTTACAAGTACGATGAAACACGGACAACAAGTGCAGAATATATCTGAACCTATTCATATTTATGAAGGATTAACTGTTTTAACAAAGACTCATTGTGTCGGTTTTCACAAGTGCTCAAGATTTACAAGAATACGTTGACATTTTCTGAAGGTTTATTCCCTTTATCTCTGAGCGTTTGCAGCCAGTTAGCTTAGCTTAGCATAAAGACAGGAAGCAGGGGTAAACAGCTAGCCTGTCTCTGGCTTGAAGTATGAAAAATAAATCTGCCTATTGGAAACTCCAAGCTCTCAAATCGACTCATCACATCTGTTTTTTTACTAATCCATACATCAAATACAGGACAGTGCTTTATTATGATATGTCCTCCTGGAAAGAGCCTGATTGTAAATGGATTTATTTTTCAGCCTGACCACGACTTCAAACCAAACACACTGCCCTAATGCAGTGAATCACATTTGGAAAGATAAACAGCTGATAAAACACTGACAGCCATGCACTGGCTTCCACAGAGTCCAGACCTGGATATGACAGAGACAGTATGGGATCACCTGGGCAGACAGAAATACAAGAATGCTTCAATATAGAGAAGAACGGCTGAAAAAAGCCTGTTATTAGCAGAAACCTTCAAGACAATCTCCACTAACGAGTTCAAGATGTGCTAAACACAGAGGGAGGTCAGAATGAATCGAAGTATTTCCTGGTTGCTATTTTCCAGGTTGTATCTAAATAAAGAGGGCGAGTTATGAATAAAGATGGCTAGAGGTGACCTTAGACTTTCACACGGTACTGTAGGTGTAAGAATTGAATTACCAGAGGAGGTTACAGCTGCCCTCCGAGATATATTCCAGCACATTACTGAGGTTTTTTTTATAAAAATCTGTTTTATCATCTTACTGTTTCTATTATATTTTGAATGGTTATAAACTAAAACGATCTATGATTTTGTTTCCTTGACTCATAGAAGATTGTTTGAATATTGTTCTTCTCTGAACACGACTGCTCTGTTACCACTCTGTCATTTCTAACCAGTCGTAAGATTGAAACTTACTGACGTCGCTTAAAGCTGACAACTGCTGATACAGACCGTGTGTTTGACAATCGGCAGCTGGTGACTTGACAAGCTTTATCACAAGTGACATCATCAGTGGCTCAGCTCATCAGCTGCTACTCTTTACTGTTACGTCTTTTCTTGCTCTGAAGCGGGGCTCCTGTTGTCTGAGGGAGTCTCTTAAACACGACTGTGCAGAGAGCAGAGGACAAAGGGAACACTCATATTCTTCCCCTTTAATTAAACAAAAACAATTATGTTAGATAAAGCTCTGGCTTGCTGTATTTTGGCTAATTCTAAACTATTCAGTAATGAACACATCATGTTAATCATAAGGCGCTTCCCTGTGAATCAAACCTAAAACTTAGAAAAGAAAAACCATATTAGTTATTTAACTTCAGAGATGCTGACAGTCAGATGCTTTTCTCCCTTTGGATAACGCCATAGCAGCTATTTTCCCTGTTTCCAGCCTTTATGCTATGCTAAGCCAAGCTAACCAAACTCTATTTCACAGACAGACACAAGAGTAGAAAGGGAATAAATATACGTCTCAAAATGTCAAACTTTTTGCTGCTACTGTAAAGTGTGATGTGTTCACGAGTGCAGTGCAGGACAGCAAGGACAACAAATGTGTGCGCAATTTTGGTCGCTGATCTTAAACAGCTGCATGAATTTCGGAGGGAGGAGCACAAAAGCAGGAAGGGGAAGTTTAGGGGAAGGATGATTTGTCTTTAACACGAGCAGTAAAGCCACTTTGATTAATCTTAAGAGGAAAAGGAGCGCAGGGACATTTGCTCTGCTTCAATGCAGAAAAGCAATCTCAAACAATCCTCACAAACCCGAGAACTGGGTTTGGGAAGACCAGCTACCAACCCGTTCGCTCGGCCACCTTCTCTTCTCTTCCTTGACTTCAAAAGCCTTTCTTTCTTTTCTATATTTGATCCTGGCACAGTTCTGAATAGCGCTCAGCTACTTTCTGTCTTTGTCGTCTTCGAGTCTCGATTGATCTGACTTTGTGATGTTCTCATGTTCTGAGATGACAAATCGTCTACAGCGCAAAAGAGAAAAAAAATACTGCAAAGAGTATGAACAATACATTAAACTAAACTAACTAGCACGAGTTTAAGAAAAAAAGTATGGTGCTAGTGTGGGTGGACATGTCTTCGTTCTTGGCTCAGTCACAAAGGTCACATGGCGTTAAAGGTGTGTTTCAGGAGTCAGCGTTGGGCTTAATAAGTTGGGGGATCAAAGTGCAGGGCAGCAGCATCCAAAGATGCCCTTAAGTGTCCTCTAAAGTCACACCCAGCAGGTGGCTTCTGTGTTCAGATACTGGCCACCTCATCTGCGTTGTCGACCGTCTCCAAGTTGCTGTCCAGTCCGCCACGTGCACGCCAGATCTTCACAGTCCGGTCACTGGAAGAAACAGTCAAACACACAAACAAAAGAGTTAAACTACCACACAGCTGAGGAAGTAATAAACATGTCTAATCAGTCTTGCTGACATGAATGAATGTTTTACTACAATAAACAGCGACAGGAAGCAGACGCCGCACATCAATTACAGTATAGTGTTAGCTTGTCCCCCCCTCCTTCATTAGCTTACGTGCTAATATGTGCTGTATGTATCACAACAAGCATCATCACTCTCCATGTGCAGTTACTTCTCAGTTGAGTGACCATCTTCATATTTTTCCACAAGTGTTCGATAACTGCATTTGAGGGAACGACGCAATAATTGTATCTATACCTACCTCTACAGATCGAACATAGATCTAAGAAAGATTTCTGTTTTTATGCGTAACATTAACACTCACTGGACTTATATATTTTCTTTACATGCACTCTGTGAGTGGATTTATATACACTGCAAGATTTGTTTCATTGTCAACTGCACAGCTCCTTCATTGCACATTTTGTACTTTTTCTTTTTAATATTTTTACATTTTTAAATTGTATACTATATATTGTAATTGCTTCTTATATTTCATTATTCAAGTTCTTGCTATTTTTGCTTTATTTTCCTTTGTTAACTGTTTCTGCACCAATACACCAAGACAAATTCATTGTATGTGTAAATGTACTTGGCAATAAAACCCGATTCTGATATTTTTTCCCCTTCCCTACTACACCATCGACCCAAAAACCCCTTATTGGTCAAGCTGTAAATAAATAAAAGTTATGACTATTATTGTTATTTTATAAATCAAGAGATATTTAACATCAGATGTGTGGTTAAGCCTTAGCATTGGCCCACATCATTTAGAAGCTAGGCGAATGAAAGTTGAACTTTCTTTGCTTTATGTGTGACAGATCCTCAGAAGCTATCTCTGCTCCGACTTGTTCATCTGTAGTTAAGAGTTCATTTTGAAGGTGAATCAGTAAGTCAATGCCTTGTGAAGCAGTTCAATGCATGTCCTGGTAACATAAAGTCATGAATAGTGTGTATTTGGTTGGTGTGTCAGACTCACTCGGAGGCGGTGAACAGGTGGCTGCTGTTGGTAGATATGCTGTTGATGGGACTTTCATGCCCCTTCAGCTCCCCCAGAGTCCCCAGAGTGTCCGTGTGCCACAGCTTGAGCACTCCACCCCTGCAGCCACTCAGCAAGGCAGGAGACCCCGGCACGACACCGAGTGCACAAACCCAGTCACGGTGTGCGTTTGGGACTTGCTGTTGGAGACAGGAGTCAAAGGTTTTATGAAAGTAGACAAGAACAAAGCTCTTCCAGCTGTTGAGATTGTCAGTTTTTTTTTTTTGGACTTGCAAAGACAATAGAACAGACGATCACATCCTGCAGTTAAAAAACATTTTGCTATTATGTCAACATCAGGGATGAGGCAGGGCAAATACAGAAAGTGTTTGGACTGAAAATGACAGGTGTTATAACGGTTCAAGGCCAATCATATTTTGTTTGACGGGCTACAAGACTTGTTTTTAGCTCTACTTGTCATTCGAACAACATAGAAACGCTTTATAACCAAATATAGAGAAGTTAATTCAATGACAGATATGCAGTTACATGATGGCTAGTGCCACTGAAAATACACACATGTATGTAAAAGATGTCAGCACCAAATTGACAGCACCGTCTAATTAGGAAAATGTAAAAATAATCAAAATGAGATTAGAGAAATTACTTTTTTGTGCACTAAAAAAACAAAATCTTGATATTTTAATGTATGGATTTGGTGTTTGAAATTGTTTATATAAAAATATTACAACCACTAGTCATCTTTTAAACAGTTGAGGATAGGCAGAAAACGTTGGAAGGAGAGAGCGGGGGACAACATGCAGCCAAGGGTCGAGGTCAGATTCAAACCCACTGCCGCTGCAATGAGGACTAAAGCCTCCGTACATGGGGCGTACGAGATAACCGCCAGGCTATCAGCGCTCATCTTTTCTTCTTCTGATGATTAGTTTAATAATTCTTAGTTTTTTCTTATTTCACATCTTTTAAAAGTCTTAGTTTGAGTCTTTAATATCGCCTGGTGTTGATTAAATATTTTGTCTTAGTGTGAAAATAGCCTCGGTCAACATTTTTATCATTGTTTTTACATTAGATCTAATTTCAATGAATCAATTCCTACATATTGTATTATTCCGTTTAGTATGTATTTACTTAATCATTTCATCACCTTCTTTCCTGTTTCAGTCTTTCAGGATTTCATCTATTGTTGTCCATTTCTGATTTTTACTTCCTGTCTGTCATTCTTTTGAGAAGCACTTTGGGCTGCATGCTTTTATGTATGAAAGGTGCTATCCATTATTACAAATCAGAATTGGAGTGAGGCAAAGCACTTTGAAAAGTAGTTGACCACTCAACCTTGAATGAAGAACAGCTACTGTAGTTGCTCCTTAATACCAAAGTGTTTCATCGCAGCCTCTGAATATCTTTCTAATGCATCTTTTTTATCTGACATCTTTCTGATCCAGTACCTGCAGCAGGTCTTTGCGGTCCAGGTCCCACTTCTTGATGCCGTTGTCTCTGGAGCCGCTGAAGAAAATGTCCCCCTGGACCACCAGAGACTCGATTCCGTCGTAATGGGGAGGTTCAAAGTTGTGTGTGGGGCTGATGCTCCCCAGAGAGCCTTCGGTCACATCAAACAGCTGAAAGAGAGTCATACAGCTACGTGTTAGAGGTGCATCAATGTGACAACACTTTGTGGGGACTAGCTCATGATGTAAGGTTTGTCTTGCGTAATGGATACACTCCCACAATCCTTATGTTGTATTCATGAATGCCTAAATCTTATCGTATGCTACAATCATATGTCTATGCTTTGGTTTCCATGGCGATCAGAATGTGTTCTGGCAAAAACAAAAAGGTAAGAAAGAGGCGCAGATCACTAAAAACTCACCTTGATGTAGTGGTCCTTGGACCCGGTGATCACCATGTCCTGGTTGTTTCCAGACTGATCCACAGTCAGACACATGACAGGGCTGAGGTGACCGGTAAGTTTCCCTGTGGACGCAAATCTGAGCAGAAAAAAACAACAAAAAAGACCTTAAAAGGATAGAAAAATGGCGCCCGACTCAGGACAAGCATGCAGGTGAAAATCAATTAATTCTAGGACATTAGTCTATGAAGCAAGATGCTGCTTACGCTGATACTCGTGATAAAAACAGACGTGTGAGCAAACAAGTTTTTGAATTGAGTTTGGAAGTTTAATCTGAGTGCATATAGTTGGTTTTTTAATAATCCGTACTGCCTGTGACTGTCGCTCCTTTCAAATAAAAGAGAAAGGCTATTCATCAAAAGTTAAACAGGCTGTCATTGGTCGCTGACAGCTTTGGATTGGATACCTGACAGGTTTTAATGAATCAGGTCCTCAGACTGTGCAGCTACACAGCAGTGTGCTGTGATGAAACGGCTGTGTGTGTTAGGCATCAGAATATTGTTTAAGAGCAGAGCAGATATGCAGAGAATTATAAACAGACTGTCGGCTTAATCTCATTTTAAGTTTGACTTTTAATACACATAACTTCATTTTAATAAAAAATAAACGTTTTGCACTGACATGTTCTTCTTCAAGTAAAAATAATATGAAGTAAAGTGAAACTACAAAATGAAAATCTCAATGACGACTGGACGCTCAACCTGGATTGGTTCATTCGAGACAATTCTTCCATGAATCCAAAGGTTTGAATGTTGGAGCTACATGAATCATCATTTCTTCAGGATAATGATTAAATGTTGAACAAAAATCTACAATGTCTGACTAGCAAACAAACGTTTATTGGCAACGTTTCGGTTGCCTGATGAAGGTCAAGTACTGAAACGTTGCCAATAAATGTTTGTTTGCTAGTCAGACTGTGTGCAGGAGTTTACCTTTGAGTTTTTGATTGACACATTGCTCTCCTACGCACCTGTCTTATGAAATGGATGTGCAAAGGTTTTTACTATTTTGTGCAAGAATCTACGACGATTCATCCAACACATATTCTTTTGATCAAATTGTGATTCATTACATCCCCTTAAATCTCATCACTAGAGGGGCTTAAAAACATTAAAGTCATTGTGATACAATATAAATATCCTGTGTCACTGCTTAAACATTTCTTACTCATCACTCGTTTTTACCTTCTCAGATCCCAGACTCTGACTGAGTTTCCAGCGGCGGCATACAGAACCGTTCCGTTTGGGTTCAGAGCAATCTGGTTGACTAGATTCTCTCCTGCAGGGATGGTGACCGTCCGACTGGTGTTAGACGCACAGGCATCTCCCACATTAACCTGACCAGAGGACCTGAAAAAAAAAAAAAAAACCCACACAGATGAGATGTTTCCGCATCTGATTCAAGAAATCAGGGGTAAAAGAAACGGAAGTGTTCCCACACATCATGCATGAAGGTACGAAATACTTTAAAGGTGAGAGAACATGTTGTATTTTGAGGCTTTTACTTGTGATGGTGTCTGATGAAATTATTAAAACCGTTTCGCTGTAAGCCTTCTACATCCCTTCTTATAGATGAGTCAGTTTTAAATGTGTATTTACGGGTAAATAAGTATTCATTAGATCATTCAGGGGCAACTTTGGTCCATATTTTTCTAAATCTCAAGATTTAACAAAATGATATAACTATATGTCAGACAAACCAGCGCACCTTTAAATCAGTTTAACTCACGTCAATGTTCGAATGCACTTGGCAGAGTCCCGGATGTCCCAGACTTTGATGTAGGAGGTGGAGACGGTGAAGACCAGACTGGAGCTGTAGCGGACCGACACCACGTTGTTGGGATGACCGGCCAGGGACATTATCTCCTGACCCGTCACCAGATTCCACACCTTACAGGTCCTGTCTGTGGACATGAAGACAGTCTGTCATCTTCTTTATTTTTTCATGCATGGACCATGGTGAGAAAACGACGACATCAAAACTAGAGCAATGAGTGTCGAGCTCAAAATCAAGGCTGTTTGAAAATGAATCACAATGTAAACCCTGTTCTTGGTGATACAAGGGAGACATTAGAAACTTGCAGAATCACTTTTTTCTCTAAAGCCTGGAAGAAACATCAGGATGATTTATTATTATTAAGTGTCTACTTTGGGTCTTTGGTCTCTTTGTATTAATAATGGTGTCATGTAAGCCTGTTTAAGATAAGGCATATTGTTTATGCATGACTCAATAATAACATTAATTAGTCATCAATCATCGTCATCAACAGTAACTGTAAAGCGCCCTGAGGCAAACGCTTGATATTAGATTCAGGGACTATTTTTTGAATTTGCTGATCTTGCTCTGCTGTAGATTTATTTGTATGAATGTTTATCAAGAGGAAAGAGAAACAAAGAATATTTTCTTTGTCACACATTCTTTTACTTTTTAACTAATAGGATAAAACTGTAACTCAGATTGTTGGATCTCCTGGAACCCAAGGATCCCTGATCCTTCTTTATAAAATACAGATCTCTATGATCACCACAATTTCATGGTGGGTGCCCAAGAATAATGACACAAATTCAGTGGTTATGGAGTTGAATAATAATCGCGAGAAAAAAAATATTATGACGTAAAAGTGAAGTTGACCTTTGCCATGTCAGAAACGACACCTCATGTCATAATTAGGGAGCAGCAGTAGCTCAGTGTGTAGGGGCTTGGGTTGGGATCTAGAGGGTCGCAGATTAAACTCCTGGGGTCTCATTAATCAACAGTGCGTAGAAAGTGTTCTAAATTCTGTCTTACGAATGAAATTTATAATGTTGTATAAAGTACAAAAAAATCTGTATTTATCAAACATGCAGACAGTGATCGTACCCACATCGGTAGGTAATCAGTGTTGATAAATCCCACATGTTCTTAACCAGCAGGCTTGTGCATGTTCGGGGACATTTGCATTCAGAAACGCCTCCACTAAACCATTTATGGTAACAACACACCTCTTTAAAAACCACGTCAACATATTTACCTCGGAGGAATAATACGAGAGTAAAGAAAAGGAGCTTGAAAGCAGAAATGGAAGTGGATGAGGTTGAATAAAAAATGGTAATAAATAAATAAATAGATAAATAAATACAATAAGGTTAGTAACTCTTGCGCTAAGTGACCCAATTAAATTCTTAGTCTTTTCACTTAGTCGAAGTTACTCACAAAAGAACAAATGATGCAGGAGAGAAGGTGACAGGTCAGAGGAGAAAAGACGAAGATGAAGTTTGAGATTAAGCTCAGTGCAAAAAATAAAACTCATCGCGGCACAAAAGCGAGAAGCATTTGCAGCTGGAGGATAACAGAATACTCCAAAATTTCACCCAAGAACAGTACATTTACAGCGTCATCGAGGGCACAGCTCTCTCTGGGGAAAAAATTAAACAGTGACGCTCTCACAAGAGGACAGGCTGGACCAAACAGATCAGTGCACTCTTTTGAAAAGCCCTTACTGCGGAGCACACAGTTCGCCAAATCATCTAAAGGCAAAACAAGCCATAATGTAACATTTCAAACGCCTATCACGTCGGTCTTTTTAAGGTTTTGGAACAAATTAAGGCAACACGTCTGTTTCAAACTAGACAAAATCACTTATTTGGGGTTTTTAATTAAAGAAAACTTGGAACATGCATCTACGTTGAGATTGGTTCTGGCATGCTGTGACACTCGTAGTTCTTTCAATGTTCTACCGCTAGATTCTCTGTACGCATGCTCAGAGCTGTGCTTATATTTACACACATTTCTAAGTAAAAGTACAAGTTGATAAATCCCACTGTTTGCGTGGGAATAATAATAATAATAATACATTTTATTTATAAGCGCTTTTAAAAAACTCAAAGACACTGTACAATAGTTAAAAACAGAAAGAACAGCACAGTAAAGGACAGACTAACAGACATCACAACATTACACACAAATCATAAAGATAACAACAATAAAGGTAATGAATGTGTGTTGGAAGTGAGTTCCAGAGGGAGGGGGCAGCTATGGAGAAGGCTCTGTCCCCCCCCCAGGTTCGGTGCTTGGTTCTAAGAGGGGGAGACAGGAGGATGGCTTTTGAAGAACGGAGGCTGCGTGCAGGAGTGTGAGGGTGAAGGAGAGCCGTGAGGTAGGAGGGGGCCTGGTGGTTAAGGGCTTTATGTGTGAGGAGAAGGATTTTGAATTGGATACAGTAATGGTAATGGAATGTTCTTGCGCACACATTACGCACAGCTCCGTGCTTACACACTGTTGATAAATGAGCCCCCTGGTGTGGACCAAAATATTTAAGTTGGTCTGGTTGCTGGAGAGGTGCCAGTTCACTTCCTGAGTACTGCCCAGATGCCCTTGAGCAAGGCACATAAACCCCAACAGCTCTGGAGCGCTCCCTGCGTAGCAGCCCCATTAATGCCTGTCCATAGCTCCTGTTGGTGCATGTGTGTTTATTCCATGCCTATGTGTGTGAGAAGCATGTGTCTCAACAACAGAGTGTAAACCAGAATTTCCCTCATGGATTAATAAAATATGTAAAATTGATTTGTTGCAAAATAACCCATTTGGAGAGGTCACAGTGGCCTTGACCAATGACCATCATAACAGATCAAATCATAACAAATAACCTCCTAGCATCCCTGACATTCACCAGGAAATGATGGACTGACTTTTTGCCCCGAACACATAACACATCTGTACACTGTCTCAAGTGTCTCCACATCTGTACACTGTCTCTAGTGTCTCCACATCTGTACACTGTCTCCACATTTGTAAACTGTCTCTAGTGTCTCCACATCTGTTTACTGTCTCCAGTGTCTCTACATCTATACACTGTCTCTAGTGTCTCCACATCTGTACACTGTCTCCACATCTGTTTACCGTCTCCACATCTGTACACTGTCTCTAGTGTCTCCACATCTGTTTACTGTCTCCAGTGTCTCTACATCTATACACTGTCTCAAGTGTCTCCACATCTGTACACTGTCTCTAGTGTCTCCACATCTGTTTAATGTCTCTAGCGTCTCCACATCTATACACTGTCTCTAGCGTCTCCACATCTGTTCACTGTCTCTAGTGTCTCCACATCTGTTTACTGTCTCCAGTGTCTCCACATCTATACACTGTCTCCACATCTGTTTACTGTCTCCAGTGTCTCCACATCTATACACTGACTCTAGTGTCTCCACATCTGTTTACTGTCTCCAGTGTCTCCACATCTATACACTGACTCTAGTGTCTCCACATCTATACACTGTCTCTAGTGTCTCCACATCTGTTTACTGTTTCTAGTGTCTCCACATCTATACACTGTCTCTAGCGTCTCCACATCTGTACACTGTCTCCACATCTGTTCACTGTCTCTAGTGTCTCCACATCTGTACAATGTATCCAGTGTCTCCACATCGGTACACTGTATCCAGTGTCTCCACATCTGTCTCCAGCACAGAGGCATAAAACTTAGCAGCTCCAGGGGGATAAATGAGCAAGTCACTGTATTTGATTTCCAATACATCCACCTCCATTAATTATTATACAAAGCTTTTTAACAAGAATAGTTTTACAGTATGTGCAATATAATTTTTCTACATCTCCTCGTTTATCCACACACTGTGCACCTGCCAATCTTAATTAAACCCTGTCAGGTTTTATTTGCTGTTAACAGCATATGAGCATGTCAAAGTGGAATAAATTAGCATTGCCAGTATAGGAAGCGAACGTGTGAGGAATACTGATGAGGGAGAGGGGAAGAGGTGACGAAGGGAAGGGTGGAGGGATGATTGTGGGTGTTATCAACCTTTGGATCCGGTGAAGAGGAGGTCATCAGTGCAGTCGACACACAAGACCGCTTTATTGTGTCCCTCCGCCACGTGGACGCACTGCAAGGTCGCTGAACGGCTGCTCTTAGTGGCCGGCACAGGATTAATGACGCCCCTGGAAACACACACACACACACACAAAACTATAAAAAGCTGCAGAATAGACATAATACTGTCGAATAATCAGAGCGCAGCACAGAAATAAATCACACCGACGCAACCAGAATCATGCACAGCATGCAGCTCTCATGGCTGATTACCACGACGCTGCAAACCAAGAATAGAAAGAGATGACAGGAACAGTCCAAAGGAAAATTAGGAGGCAGCTGTTTGAAGAGTCACCATTATTGTGCTGGAGAAAAAGAAAACCACGAGTCCAAAAATACCCCTACTGCCCCTTCAAAAGCTTCTCTTTCCCAGCCTGTAACAGATAAAAATAAAAAAAACACCCCAAGACACAAAGACAGATGATCGTTGGAAACCAGCGGAGTTGGATCTTTAGGGTGAAACAATCCAATAAGCAACACAGGAACCCTGATTGATCACCGATTGGCTGACAAGTTGACATCTGCTAGTGTAAGTGTCAAATCATTATCCTCTACTACAGTTGCAGCTAACCAAGAAGCAGCAGGACAAGCTGATGCTGAACCACCGATCCACAGCGCAATGAGTTTTTTTAAAATGAATGAGCTTTCAAATGGCCTGTTGTGCACCGAATAAAAGGCTGACTGAATTGAAAAAAGGCCAATGAATAGAGAAGATTACTTAGTGTTCAAAGGCAGTAACACGCTTAAAAATAAGAGCCTGTTGGGGTTTATTATAATTATCTATTGATCCCTGATAAGTATCCCATTCATTGTTTAAATGAAGTCTGGGTCTGGTTTATCCAGGTAGCAGGTCTGATGCATCGTCTGGCCTCCAGACAGAAGACCTAAGAGTGTTGAGATTGTCTAGGGGTGTCGAGGACGTTGACAAAAGAAGGAGGCCACACAAGAAGAGTCTATGATTAGATCCACCTTGGCCCTGTACACCACAAGTGACCCATAAGGCAAATTAAAAATTTTAAAAAAGTGTACTTGGGTGGTTCCGATGGAGGAGGGGAAACATTATGTAGCATGTGGTTGGAGGACAGGTGACAGCATCCATCTGTACTGAAGAGAGGAGAAAGTATCAGAGATTCCTGAGCGATGATTTGCAAATCAATCATTTGGAAATTATTTTTTAACAAATAACAAATAGGTTTCCAGGAAGCACAGTGCTAAACTCCCCCCTCACACGGGTGAACCAAAGGCTCCAGGCAGAAAGGAGGCGGCTGGGGAGTTGGAGGCAAAGCTTTGACAGCAGCAGCAGAGTATGCAGCATAGGTGTAGTAGAGATCAGTGAGACGGAAGTTGTGTTTAAATGAACCGCCATGATGTGAGAATGAGCTCTGATTTGTGTGTGTGTGACTGAAACAAGGATTCGACCAGTTGGCTGTCAGCTGATTACAGCAGGGACGTATGACTTACATTTCCTGCATGAATTGACGCAAAGCTTCTTTAAAGTCTTTGTATGGGATTTTTTGATCCAGTAGATGTCGCCCTTGAGCACCAGCATGAAACCAAAACAACTTGCGGTGCATTGTTGTGTTAGCATGCTAATGCTAGCGATCTTTATTATGCTCGTATCTTCACACTGCATGTAAATTTACCTGAAATGAGTGTGATCTAGAAACGCAGTTAAGCAGTGAGTACAGTATGTTATTCTTCTTTTCTCTAGTCCCTCAATTAAACAACTTTTATTCGCGAGGGGAGTCAGCCGCTGTCCGGGCGATGTAAACAAACTGAAAATATGACTCGGAAAACTCGGAAAACATCACAGACAGTGGGACTCACAGAGTTATTTTCAGAGGATATACTTGATTTCTATTATATTTAAGTGTGACAAATCGCATATAAAGCCTTAAACAAATCGATACAAATTTGGAAAATTTCAATACTGCTTTTGTCCTCTCTTGTTCGGCGATAGTAGCTGAAGAAGACAGGTGAACAGACATGGACAGACGTGAAGTTTTCTGGTTCGTCTTGAAGCTGGGTTGTAGGAACGAGGTGAGCAGACAAGTAAAAAAAAAAAAGCCCAAATGAGTGCAAGATAGTAATAGAGACAATAGAAAATTGTGATAAAATGGTATCATGAATCCAGTATTAGCAGGAGATTCCTTCTGAATTTGGGGAAAGAGGCCTTAGCCAGACTTTTATAAAAGTGGAGATTTTTGAGTGCAATGCTGTAGCTAATCTCTACAACTTTCCCTGACTCTAATCTGACTCTCTGGCTGCCTTGTGTCAATTTGATTTGCTTAACCTGCAGTACGTTTGCAGTACGCCACACATGCCCTGTCATACGTGTTAACTAGGCAAAGCGGTTACTGGAACAAGCAGGAGGGGAGAGCGGAAGTGGTGGGCTCCTGATGATGGGGCTGTGAAGGAAGAGAGTAGGGTTGCCAATTAAGCAGCAGCATAATGAAAGTGTGTGCTGAGCTGTTTACACATTGGTAGCAGGAGTGTGGGTGGATTGCATGAGGGCAGAAGGGAGACACATATGCTGCATTCACGTCGTACAGAAGAAATTGTTTGGACAGCTTGACAGGGATGCACTCACATGTTCAGACATGTTGTAATCGTACAGAAGACATTACAGAGGATTATTACCCAATCGGATTTACTTAATTCTTACAATACAGGTTTAACTGTGAACATCCTTCAATCTGGTCAAGAAACTGCATTAGTTTTAGAGCCTAATGAAACAAATCTGGAGCAATAACCAGTTCTAAGTCCTGAATGATATGAGACGTTTGAGAACAGTTACTATCTTACTACGATCTGAGGATTTCAGATTCTAGGAATCATCAATATGGCAGGAAATACAGAAAATTTTGGGCTGCTATTGTGATACTTTCATGACTTTTCAAATGCCTTCAAGAGGGTAGTCCCTTACAGTAAATCACCCCAAGCATTGTTTCCTGCATTATGTGTTCAGCGACGCATATCAGAGAGTTAATACAACAAAAGCAAGGATGCTAAAAAACAGCTTTAAGTCTGAACGACACACAGGTGCTAACAGGCGGAGCACAGAAGTACTGTTTAAAAAAAAAAAATGGCATCATCAACAACATCGACAGCTTCTCATGATGAGAAGCATCACACTATGAAGGTAGATGTGAGCTTGTAGAATGTGATGTGAGAACTTGAAGGAAAAAAAAGTGAACTTGTATGTAAAAATGTTTACTTGTATAAAAAATCCACTGCTTGAGTTTTGCAACACATTTTGCGAGACATCTGGAGCAAAACAAATTTGTACTTGTAGAAATGCCCCCTCCCTCCTCCCCTCGCTGTGTGTCTGTGTGTGGGGGGAATTGGCCAATCAGAAGTAAATTTCCAGTGAATGCAGTTTATATATTCACCACAATCACAAACTACAAGATAGTACAACACTTTCATTAACAGTATAAACACTATATCAACTCAAGTTACTTTTAAGAAGAAACGATATAATTTGCAAGGGATTGTGGGATAGGTAGTCCCTTGACTCAGTAACAAAAATTATGTACACAGTCTTGTATCTTTGCCTTTTTCTCCGTTTTTCGATGCCGTTTTGGCGCCAAATTAAATGTACTATAGTCATGAGTATTGGGTTGGCTGGTTGTCTTGGTTTCAGTCACCAATCTCTTGATGTAAGAATTTTGTGAAAAGTCAATGGAGGATTTGAATGGGGAAATTTACTTCTGATTGGCTTAGGACCCTGTTGCGAAGGTTGGATCAGACACCTTCATTAGCAGAGTGTAGAGGGCTGGAGGGATAGTAGACCTCAATGAGAGATAATTTAATAAAAAGAACGTCTAGATCTGCTCTTTTTGTAAAGTGTAGATAACATTTTTTATGAATCAGTGCTATGCAAAAAGAAGGTTGATTGATATTCATTATATTACGACAGGATACGAAGGGCTCCCTTGTCCACTTGGGGAAATTTGTCTTGAACTCCAAGATGATAATAGAAGCATCATGCACATTTGGACACAGTTTTTTTTTTTATCAGCAGCTTAAATCTAACCAATCAAAGGTTGGGATGAGGCTGAAATACATGTCTGGTCTTAATTATGATCAGGGAAACATTCAGTTTTCAACTGTTATCCGCATTTACTATATGCAATTAGTAAAGGCTAACATGTCCCACACTAATAGAATCTGTATCTGTGCATTAAAAAAAACCCAATGTAATTAAAATGCGTTGTGTAGTTTGTTGTACGCACATAAATGAGTCACACTGCACACCCTGATGGAGACCTCTCAAGCCTTTCTGTCAGACAATAAGAGTCTCTGTGAGTTGGTACTATTAATGTGAAACTAACAGCTTTGTTGGCCTCTACTGGCTTTGCACTTTTGACACATTATCAGTACTCATGCAGTCACATACTGACCATGCTTGTCGGGGTGCAAAAAAAGTATTCCCGTAAGAAGACAGGAAGTAGAAACGCTTTCAACATGTGAATACGCGTTGTTATCGCCTTATTATTCTTGAGAAGAAGACACAAAGCACATTTTAGGGGAACAGCTCGTTCTTCCGTTTCAGTCTCACTCCCAAGAGTTTACTGATAAGACAAAGAAAGGGAAGGAACAGTGACTACTTCAGGGATGTTTGTCATGTAAATCAGCAGGAAAGAGGCTGATCCGCAAGTTGAACACTGAATTTAAGTCAAACTACAAAGAATTTTAAAGAAAACATCCTCACTATGGCTCAAAAAGAGTCATAATGTTCAGGTTAGTTAGGAACAATATGACTTTAAATTCAGTGTCAAACATTGCAGCTCATGTTGTCACACAAGGCGCAGAGAAATCTTTCATTTAGCAGTAGATGACATGCTTCTCCACAGCAGGAAACCCATAGAAGGAGTATTAGTAGTAGCTGAATTGAAGTTACTCTGCATCATTATTTCGGCCCTGCAGCCACAACGTCGGCAGCAAGCTCTTACTGTTTAATCTCCTTGATCTTTGCCCTGTCCGATGCTGCTTGTGACTTGTCATAGGTCTTCCTGCGAGCGAGCGGGGAGGGCTCCGGAGTGCGTTTTTCCCGCCCTGGTGAAGTTCTGGAGCCAGAACTGATCATTCAGTTTCACACATTAATACACACACAACACAAAGGATCACAATGAAACGAAAAAAAGAATGTGAAAATAAAAATAAATCAATGAAACGATGAGCATGAAGTACACAGAGAAACACATTTACCTGATTTTTAAAGTCCCAAAACTGTGGTGGGTCTTCGCCAAGCTCATGTTAATTTACTAAGGTCCCTGTGTAGAATTTGTTCTAAAGTTTTGTACAACTCTTTTACTTCATTTGCTGAAGGAAAACTATCAGCCATGGCAGATTTGAAAGACAAGTCAGTGTGCACTCAGGTATAAAGCAAGGCCTGTTAAAGCCATGGAGTTAGTATTTGTGCTGTGTAGACTGAAGTAAGGATTAGAAAAGCTGTTCAAGCAGGGCCAGCAATAAGTAAAGAACATATATGTATATCGGCTTGTCTCTACATGCTGTTCTTCAAAGGCCTCATCAGTGGGAGGAAGGCATGGCCATTTGATGTGAGGATGCTCATGAATAATGTGAAACTAAATTAAATTACAGCCGAGGATGAAGCAGCAACATCAAACATGCAGGAAGGAAGGAAGCAGTAATTATTGTGTTAGCAAAAAAGAGTGGCGGCCCTGGACTTACATGCTGCCCATTTTAGAGGAAAAGCCGGGGGAGAGAGCTGTGTAGTCCCTGACTGAGGAGCCTGACGAGTCCAGGTCTCCTCCCCCGTCGGGTGTTTCAGCTAACGGCAGCATCGGACCGGAGAAGTCAGCGGGAGCATCGGGGGCGGAGTCACTGTTAGCGTAAAGCAACTCCATCTGAGTTGTGGTCCTTCTACGGGCCTGTGCAGCAAAATATTTGTGAAAAGTGAAGACAGGAATTTATCTGGGAAATAATTGTATACACAGAGAACCAAGCATTGAAACATCAGAGAGTGTAATACCTTATTTCTTGTTTTGTTCTCTCCGCAGAGTTTCATGAGATCTGATGCCAAGGTGCTGAGGGGAAAAGACATCATGTTGAGTATATACATTTATACAACCTTCTGTTTAATCATAGTTTAAAAGATTGGCTTCATTTTCCAACAACAGAGGTTACCACTTATATCACACCAACTTACTTTCCCTCTGCAGACGGGCTCTGTGCAGACTCATCACTGCTGCTGTCATCCCCGTTCTCTGTTAAATGAGATCAATGAATAATATCAGAGTTGAGAGAAGAATCTTTTGAGAAACACCTGCATGTTACTAATTACTTGTTTAAATAATTTTGAGCTTATATAACTTTGATTAGTTTACAGTTGTTATCTTTTTTCCATTATCTAACTTACAGATACAGCAATTGTCCTGACTTTATTTTAAAAAGCTGTGCATAATGGATGAGGAAAAGATGAACGATTGAAGCAGACGAGGGCGATGTCAGAGCAGCGCCATGCTGTTTTATCAACAAACAGAGACTTGGTCCTCACTGAGCTCAATTGGGCCAGATGGATTGAAAAAGGTCAGACAGCGGACAGGTGGTGGGTGTTATTGAGAGAGATGTGTGGGCAGGAGGGCAGGGGGCAAGAGTCCGATATGAGACAACAAGGTGGGGAGGTGAAAAGAATCATTAGTCCGTGGCTCCAGACGGGGTCAGCTGACCTACAGGATCCAACAGAGCTATAATATCCATGTTGTGAGGCTCCTGTGGAAGGTTCAGGTTAGCAGGTTGCTAAAGCATGAAGGCTGTAGCACACAAGGAGCTAGTAAGAGTAAGAGGTGCTAATGTGTCCAGATGAGAGGGAGGGAAGGGGGAGGTCAGCAGACAGATGGAGGGAAGCTTGGTTGCATTGCACCTCATGCACCTGGTCATGTTACGCTCAGTTAGTTTCCGATTGTAAAGGGAAGGAAACATGCATTCATAACACAGGTAAGAGTCTAATGTGATTTCACTTACCGGCCGGGATGTTACCTAGCTCTGCACAAACATGAGAAAACAAAAAAGAAAAAAAGAAAACGTGGGGGAACAGAAAAGAGGCAATGCACAAATCAAAAAACACAGTCCCCCGAAATACTAAAAAAAACAAACAAAGGAAAATAAAGTGAAGCTACTTTAACACAGCCTCCTACTGAACAGAGGCTGGCAAAAACACAAGACGCCGCAGAATTTATGTTGTAATATTATAGTTCAATCAACACTAAAACCTAGATTATTTTGTGTTTTCTCTTATATGTTTTCAAACTTTGTGCCAGACTTGAATTAGGTGGTTTAATTGTTAGTTTATAATATTCAGGCCAGCTTCTATTCTGCAGAAGGCAACGAGCAAGAGCATGTCAAGAGGTCCCATCATGCAACTGACCAGTGACCCCGTCCTCTCCCTGAAAAGCCAAATCATGTGTAATAAATTTGTCATCCTGGTACTGAAACTTCCAGGATGTTGAGTGTTAAATCAGGGGTCTGGTCCGTGTTTTTGGGGTCCTCATCTCCAGGTCTATCTCACTCAAAAGAAACACAGTTGTTACCTTGCAGTGCATTCCCCAGCAGCGCGTCCAGCTCGGGGTTGAACTCTGCTTTCTCCTTCAGCATGTGGAACAGCAGCTGGTTCTGCGTGGCGCTAGTGATCTCTGTCTGCTTCAGTCGGCCCTCCATCACCTTCACCTGGGACTCCCTCTGGGCCGCCTGGAGACCCTGAAGGGTTCAGACCACAGAAGTGACACGCTTAGATTACTCACAAAGACCCTGTAGTGTAGAGTTTCAATTTCTGATTCAACAAGAATCAAAGATTATTTTCTTAGAGACCAAATATGAGACAACTTATCATGAACTCTACATGATTACGTTTGACTGCCTGTCTTGGAATGAAAAATTAAGGCGGTGACAGGTGTTCATTCGTTCAAAACATGTCTGTTGCAAATTAAACACAGCGTAATAATCGTTAAAAACATTCTTGATGAAAATGATTTGAAGAGCTGTTACCTTGTTGATAGCCATTAACATGAAGTGATCAAGTAGAAAACGAGCCTCAGTCAGGGTACAAGAACCCACCACGGCAGAGATGTCCACAGTGTCGCCTTCCTCCTGAAAAAAGAAAAAAGCTTGAATTAAACAACCTTGACTAAAAAACACATAAAAAGATATCTAACTTAAAGGTTATGTCACTTTCTGGTTTCCAATTTCCAAAGTAGTTTGGCTGTCTTACCTTTGTTTCCTCCATCTGCATGATGTTGGCCTGACAGTCAGCGATGCTGTCGTTGATGTAGTCGATGTTAGCCGCCAAAGCGTCCACTTCCTCGCTGAGTGGAACCGCCGCCTTCTCCACCTCTGGCCCCTCCCTCATCAGCCTGTCCCTCTTCCTGATGACCTTCTCTTTACGCTTGGTCAGCTCCTCTCGTTGCTGGGAACACACAGTGAAACACACATTAATAGAAAATCGACAGAACTTTGAACAGATTCCCAGACTATGCAGTTATTCCTAAATAAGAACACTGTGGCTCAGTGGTAGAGTTGGTCGTCTCCTGACCAAAAAGTCAGGGGTTTGATCCCCAGCTCCTGCAGCCATATGCCGATGTGTCCTTGGGTAAGACACTTAACCTTGTGATTGGTCATGCTGCTACATTGGCAAAAATGACTGTTTGAATTGATCTGCCATCAGTGTGTGAATTTGGTAAGGATAGGTAGGTGTGACCTGCGGTGTAAAAAGCACTTTGAGTAGTCAGAAAAGCGATATAGAAGCTCAAGTCCATTACCATCTACATGTTGCAAATGTACAGGTCAGGTGGAGGGGGAGGGGAAGCAAAGGTCTAGGGTTTGTTTATTCAAGAAACAGAAGAAAGAGGTAAACAAGAAGTAACAGATTCCACAATCACAAACTTGTGCCAGGTTTTATTTTTGTTTCTGTTGCCCACTGACGATGATGACGACGATGAATCGTGCGACAAATGTGTGATGAAGTAGCAGTGATCTACCCCCCTCCAGGATCAAACCCTCACAGCATTTTCTCCAGAACAAACCTTAAAATAACCACTCGGCTGTCATGAGCTTGAAATGTGACACAGACATTTCGACAGCCTCCTCACAGACATCTGCCAAAAGTCTTCACTGGCATTTCCAGCACCAAAACATCATGATTCAACTGTAGAATGTAGCGTAAATGATGCATATATATTATTAACACCTACAGTAAGCATGTGTAAGCTTCTATTTGGGTATTCATCGACTGTACGCAGGGTTGACGGAAGAATAACAAACCAAATGTCATGAGCAGAATACTCCCAATAATGTGCTGTTTTTGAGTTTTATACTGGTTTGTTTTGGCAGTTTTTTTGTCCTTGTTTTGAGTTTTTATAATTAAGTGTCATATTATTAATTATCAGAATTTCATCCTGACTTAGTTTTCCACCTTTTCCACCAACTATCAGCAACTCTGAAGTAGTTTGATGATTAGGTTTCTTGTCTGAGGTCAAGAGTATTTTGTTGCTACTACTTCTGGTCATGAACTTAAACCCACAGCAGTCTAGTCAGTATCCTACTTTTGCACTTGAATTTGCGTTATTCATGTTGGTCGCCATCTTGATTATTAAAAAAAAGCTTGGGAGGGTTGGTGGCGGCAACAATGGCAGGTACCTGCAGCGATATCGTCTTTCTGATGTGTACCTGGTTGAATGTCTTACAAGAGGAGGGAGTCGTATCAGAATAAGACATTCCTGCGTTTTCCAGTAAAGTCTGAAATCCATTGCCAGTCGATTGTGAAAATAAGAAGAGATATCGGACTACATTTGCAGGTAAGGACATCACTAATGTTAGCCTGGCAGTTAGCTAACTACTGTTATGAGGTATGTTACTGAGAGCAAGCTAGCTCTGTATTATATGAAATCACATGGGTTTCATATGATCTTTAAGTTAGCTGGTTTACCAACAACATCACAACTGCAATGCTCTTCATGTTTGTGAGACAGCCAGCAGCAAACAGTAAACAAACACATCTCATAGTATCATAAATATTGTTACACTAATACGGCCAAAGTTGTACCTTGAGGAGGCGGTTCATGTCTGCCTCCATGTTGGAGATGGTCATCCGCTGCATGATGATGTCAGAGATCCGTCGCTCCAGAGACTGCCACTTATTACGGGCCACTCTGGTGAAGTAAACACCCGCTGTACGTCTGTAGAAAGACCTGCACACAAGGTTTCGATACGTTCAATATTACTGATTGAATCAGCATAAGCTTTTATTTGCAAAGAGGAGTTTATGTGACATTTTAGAGATTAAGAGCCGATTTGATTGGCCCCTGAGTTTTTTAAGATTTCGGAGTTGGCCAGAGCATTCTTTAAGTGAGGAATGCTGATTTATAGAAATCCAGGATAACTTATGCGGGTGGTTAGAGTCCTAATTATAATACCATAGTTATAAGAAAGAAAAAAAAAAAAGTATTCATGAAAAAGCATGTATATTTAGCATCTCTGAATACACCCTCCTCTGACACACTCACCTGGTGCCGTTTGGAGCAGCGTTGCCGGAGGAGTACAGGCGTCCAGATGGGGGTCTATGAGAGGAGTCTTGGGCTGAATCTGGCAGATTGACCTTCCTGACGACCTTCCCTGAGGTGGGCCTGGCCTGTCTCCTCAGAGCCGTCACCTGACACACACGCGAGCGACACAGAAAAAAAAAGTAAGAATAGTTGAGCACTGAATGAACTCCATGTGTGTTTCTGCATGCATAATGTATCACAAGTATTTCTGCATACATAATGCATAAATCCACATCCATCTGCTGCTGCTCACCTCTTCAGTCTTTCTCCGCAGAATCAGCTCCTGCTGCCTTTTCTGAGCCTCCAGTAGTTTTAGTTGGTGCTAAAACACGACACAAATGAATTATTGTACTGAAACACATGTAGGGCTGTGCATGATGAGAAGCCTTACAGCTACCAAAGAAACCTGAGTTTGTGAAGTGAGACACTGACCAGTCCCAACAGCAGACCTTAGATCTACACTTCTTTCTCATCTTATCAAGAATAAAGTTAAACAACCAAAACGGTTTACCTAAATTCTATACAGTAATGTATTCAAACCTTAATAGCTTGTATAGATAATTTGCAGAACCTTCAAAATAAAATGTGAAACATCTTAATCTATGCTTTATTATAGCTCATTTATATATGTGTATAAGCAGCATTGTTTTAATATGAAACGGTCATTATCGGGACATGAGATTTTGGTCACATCACAAGCCTTAAACTGGTGGTGAGGATTTGATTAGAGTTAAAGGCAGGGTTGGTAATTTTCAAAAACTAGCATGATTTTGAAAGTAGCATTCCCTCAGTGCTCCGTCTACATCCACTCCCCTCTGTGCTCCCTCAAAAGCCACGCCCCCTCACTTACATGAACGAGTGCCATTGCCTCAGAAGCGGACCTCAGCTCATTTTGTAGAAACTACGTCGTCGTCTCAGGTCTCATTCAGCAGTAAGTAAACACTAAACTTTATCATAATACATGTAAAAAAAATAATGTGACTATTTCACTGATCATAAAGGCCAAACTCACAGTATAAACTCTGTCATCAGTGATGTGCTTTGAGTGTGGGCTAGTGCGTGCATGGGGAAGAGAGCGAGCAAGGAGACAGGGAGGCGTGATTTTCGACATTGGTCGAAGTTTTTACAGGCTTACAACTGATACAGATGACAGATTTTCTTCATTCCCTTTTCAGAGCACATCAGTTATTCATTTCTGTCAGGGCCTAAAGACAATTTTCTGGAGGAAATAACCAACCCTTCCTTTAAGTGAAGCAAACTTAATAAAGTGACTTACCTCTTGTTTGCGCTGGTCTTTCTTTAAGGAGGCGATCTCTCTGTTCCTACGAGACTCGTTCATCCTGTTCTTCTCCTGCTGCTCCTTCATCTGCTTCATGAGACGAACCTGGAACAACATAATTAAAAAAGTGTTTGTATTTTCATATATCCAGGAAGGACGACAACATTTGATCGTAAAGGTCTAATAACACTGCCTAAATATATTTTAATGATGTAGTCGGTGCCCCCACACTGACACATTATAGCAGTTTGAGATTTTGTTATTCACACAAAATATGGTAAACAAAAGTCCAGATAATGGGACTGTAGTGCAGCCAAGGTTCACTCGATGACACCCTGAATCAAGTTGAGACCGAAGATTTCTACCAGAGGCATTTTAGGAGACTTTAACGCACTAAAAATCACCAGTCATACCTTTGTCTTCTTCATTTCAGCCACATCCATCTGAAGCTTCTTCAGCTGTTTCTCATACTGTGATTGGTTCTTCAGCAGGCGGGCGTGCTCCTTCTGAGCCGACTGGAGTTTCTGGAGCTCCTTGTTCATAATGCTCAGCTTCTTCTCGTATTCAGTCTTGATTTTTTTGGCCTTGTCTTCTGTACCGCTCTCTACTGAAGCTGAAAGTATACAAGATATAAATCTTTAAAAAACTAAATAAACATGACAAGATTTGATGCAGTATTGCTCTAAGAAAATCTAAAAGTGGTCCATTACATTTTTCCTCTGTTGGTTTAGAAAGTCAGAAACTTTGATCTAAGCTGTCAAAAACTCTTTGACTCTTGTCTGGCAGGCTGAAAACTCCTCCATGATTTAAAACCTGCATCAGCTTTGATCCATTAGTGCTGATAAACATAAATGCAGCTGTCAGCGTCTGTCTGCTTGCAGAGATTATTCACGACTAACTTGAAAGCATTCTCTGAAGCACATAAAGTCTGGGGCATTTGACGGATATTTCTTTTCATTTCTGAAGAACAGAAACTGTGATCAAATGTGTCAGAGAGATATAAATTCTTCTAATAGAAGCTCCAAACAGGAAAGGACTTAAATACACACCACTTAAAAGACTGAAATAAACTGAATAAGTAGGCAGCAATATTAAAAGTTAAACCCACATATCAATCCTGGTCGAGGGTTTTTGGGCTAGAGCGGAAAGTTTTATACATTTTGAACATCTTGTCGATATATGTCCTATCCCCCCCCCCCCGTGGTAACCCGTTCTTCTTACTCATGTTTTGGAGGACACGGTCCCGCTCCAGCTGGGTGTCCTTGATCTTGCACTGCAGCATCATCAGCTTCTGCTCGTACTGCTGTTTGAGTGTGTGCAGACGCCGCTGGCTGTTCTCCAGCTCGTCGATCAGCTTCTGCTTGATGGCGATCTCGCAGGTGATGTTGGCCAGGTCGGCCTGGAAGTTCTCTGTTGAACGCACAATGAGATGAGCGTATGGACACAAATGGACAGTTCCTTTAAGACCCTTTTTGTGAAATATTTATACTTGTTTGAAAGATCTCTTTATCTTCCCGTGAGGCGTTTTTAATCGTTAATGAAACAGACCAAAGATAATACTGGTGCCTCTTTATGACCTACAAAAGCAAAAGAGACTGTGTACAAGAAGAGTGACTATTTATTTTGATCAAGTTATTTGTACACTTGTATCCACCAGGGGTGTTTCCAGAGCTTTTGACTGGGCTGGCCTAAATGGGGCCCTGACTGACGCAGGGGTGGCATATATGAACACACACACTATCTAATTTCATTTACCTTTTCTATTTCCACTATCGACGCAACAAAAAAGGATGGTGACGTCTGTATCTCATTGTATAGACCGAGCCTTTTTCCTCTATTGTGTCTAGTCTAGGGTTATAATGGTCGTAGTTAATGCTGCATCCTGTTCTTTGGGGTTGTCTTCTGTTTTTGTCAAATCAAATACCGACAGATCAAGGCAAGTCTGAACGATGGGTCTTTAGCTGCTTTTTAAAAGTGTCCACAGAGGTCAAGGCTCTCAGTCCTGGTGGAAGGCAGGTCCAAAATGTAGGTGCCACAACCTCAAAGTCTCCTCTGGTTTTTAGCCTCCTGCAAGTAACCGCCAGCAGACCCCTGGTCAGAGGACCTCAGGGACCTGCTGGTGTTATATGGACTCAGCAGCTCAGTGGCTGTCTTTGTATTGCTGTGTTGTACTCTTGTTTGTTTGGGACCCCCTTGAAAACAAGGTGATACACCTCAAAGGGGTTCATCCTGATATTATGAATTTCAAATAACATAGAAATCTTCACAGCTTAAGTTTTTAAGAACTCAAAAAGATGTCGACCAAAGTCACAAAAAATTGCATGCACACTGTTTCATAAAGAAGGCTGAACAAACTCTCCGGGGCTCTGAGTTGATGAGGAGGGCTGTATTATTCAGTCTCTGGTCATTTCCATATTTTAGGTTGTTGTTTAGTATTTTCATTTAACTGCACACCCCAGCTTTAACACATCACCTGTGAAAATATCACAACTCATCAGACCTAAATAAAGGTGTACGTTCATGTGACGCTGGCTGCCTTGTCGTCTTTTAGTGAATGAACAGCTCCCCCTTGTGGACAATCAGCAGTCTGTTAAGCTGAATAAGTGATAAGACACCACACACACACTTCGCTTTGACCTGATGTAATCGACCATGTTTGTTATGTGTTGTGTGTAGCTGTTGAAATGCAACGTCTCCTGTCTGCACAACAAATGTACCTTTCTAGGTACCAATAAAGAAACCTTGAACACTCTCTGTCATTCATACCTTTTTCATCCGACTCTGAGTCAGAATCATCAGAGCTCTCCTCCACATCCATCTCCTCCTCGTCTTCATCCTCTTCCTCTTCTGCTTCCTCGTGGTCGCTGCCTTCCTGGACCTCCTTCAAGACAGCAGATTTATAATTCACTATCTAAAGTTAAGACCTTTTTTTTTTTTTAAAGTAAGGATGAATCAATCGTACTATTTCTGGGTCTTCATTGACTCGCTCCGCCAATTCCTTCTCCGTGCCCTTTTCTTGCTCGTTGTCGGGAACTTCTTCCTTGTTGGCACTGAAAAGTGTCAGACACGAGGCTAAGAATCAGTGACATCATGGTTCTCCACAGGTACGTTAACACACACGTAGACAAGAAGAATACTTCTAATTAATCATCGGGGGGAAAAGAAGCATCGTTTATTTGTACTTTTTAGAAGTTTAACTTTTGTAAAAACCATAAAGCTCAGCACAGATCTCTTCTGATGGACTTCACTACACTTGTGGTTTGAAATGAGAAAATGCACAATTTACATGCAGGCAAAAAGCCTAATGAATAGAGAGGTGGGGGAGAATCGATACAGCATAGTATAGCGATATTTTGCTTGGCGATATAATATCGTCTCATGGACGACAAGTATCAATAGATTTATTATAATAAAAGCTTTTTTAAACGAACAGTATGTAAAATCTGCCACCAGGGGGCTCTCAATCAAAACAATAATAAAAGATGATGTAGAGGCAAGCGGGGAATCATGGGAGTGATTCTCTCTGCTACTTTTTCTCACAGTGTCATCGGTCTGTGGGCTCGACTCCCACTGTGTAGAAATAAAAAGACTGAAGTGAGATGAATAGACTGAGAATGTTTTCTTATTTGACAAAATAGTTCTTGATTTAGTTAAATTTTGTGGACATAATATGCAGCTAGCAAGTTAAATCGCAATATATTGTATCGCAATTCTCAGCAAATCGCAAAATGTTTGAAATCGCAATAATATCATATCTTGGCTGAAGTATCATGATAACATCGTATTGTGGGGCCTCTGGTGGTTCCCACCCCTTCTAATGAACTATATTAAAATAATGTGAATTATAAATTGAACACAGAAATAACACTGCTTTGATTTTGTCTTAGTTTTTCTCGTTTGTGGAAAAGACAGTGTATAATTTTAAGAAAGAAGGGGCGGCATCTCATGGTCCGGGCAAAAACAAAACAACAACAGTGAGAGCAAAAAAAGCATGTTAGGATTTTGCAAAACATAAATTAATAATAACAATTAAACAAAAAACTTTGGATAGATATTTTATCCAAACACAGAGGGTTAGCAATGTTTAGGTGGTGTTTTGCAGGCACAAAAGCATCTGGAGAAACCGGACAAAATGGAAAAAAAAAAAGATCAACACAGGAAAGTGGGACAAAAAAATCACTACCTCCTGATGGTAGCTTTGATACACTTTAGTGTGATTAACTTTGTCTAAAAAGAAGATTAACATTTTGAATGTGCACTCAATTTTTAAGACACTTTTAGGAAGTTTCAGAATTGCGTTGCCTCTCTTTTTATCCAGAATATTCAAACATCTCCAACCAAGATCAAGCAGATCCCACACAGCTCTATGTAACAGTCAATCAATGAGACCCAAACATTTTCTACATGTCTGTGTCGCTGGAGGAGAGCGGAGGCTTCAGTATGGCAGAGGTGAGGACAAACAGTTTGTTTTGGTTTCATGAGGGGGCTCAGGGGCGACATCTACCGGTTCAAAATGCTGCACATTCTTCCTTAAACGAAAACAGAGTTTTACATAGAAGCAGCCAGATTGGCTCTAAGGTCTGTCATAACAGACGTTTTATAGTTCCACATTTACTGTGAGATGGATTAAAAAGGTAATTAAAACATAAAACGATACAGAAGAGGATGTAGCGTGAGCTAGAAGGCATTTAAAAAAAAAGAGAGATCCAGGTAATTATGTAAAAGAAAAGAGTGTTTATGGAGAGGAGGTGCTTGTATGCAGACAGTCTCCCTCCAGGTGGGGAAATACCTGCCCAAAATAAGCCAAAAGACAAATAAAAAGCTAAATCAGGGGAAGCAAAGGAACGGGGAAGGCCAACAGCAGGGTGGGTGCTCTGACAAACCTGGCGTCCTCAACCTCTTCCACCACCTCCTCCCTTTCCTCCCTCTCTCTCTCCTCCAACAGCAGCTGGAGTCTTCAGGGAGGAGTGAAGGGGGGGTCAAACGAGAGAAGGAAGCAAGAGATGAACGAAGGAAAGAAGGAAGAATGGAGGGAAGAACGATCAGAGGAAGCTCTGCACTGAAAACACCACCCTTTATCCTTAAAGTGCCCAAAACAGCACGCCTCCACCTGATCAGAACCTAAAGGCGATGCAAGATTTCTGCAAGAACTATCAGCCCTGGAATGATGCAATTATATTTTTCTATAAAACAAACATTAACACTTTATGCTGTTTATTGTTTAATGTCTATAAATTACTCCAATAAAAGCATGTTTTCCTTATTTATACATCTATAAGCTATACTGTGTCTCTGAAGGCAAGAATGCCAGCAGGCCTTTAAAGGTCACATATTCTCCTCCTTTTCAAACACTTTAAATAAGTGTCAAGAGCTCCCCAAAACATGTCTGTGAAGTTTGTTGTTCTAAATCCACTCTGATCCTGTATTTGATCATGTCTATAAACCCCTCTATTTCAGCCCTGCTCAGAACAGGCTGTTTCTGTGTCTGTAGCTTTAAATGTAAATGAGCTGTGTCTGACCACGCCCCCTCTCTGGAAGGGCTTGGGTGTCTGGGGTTTTGTCACTCCATGCCCTATTGTTTACGGTGAGAAGGCAGACTCAGAGGGCAGAACAAACACCTAGCTGTGGGAGTGTCACCCACCTGGGGGAGGAGTTACTGCCCTTTGTGATATCATGAAGGGAAAATCTACAAACAGCCTGTTTGAGCACACATTTTCTGAAAAGTGGCGCATACAGAAGACGGAGAGGATGGACTTTTCTCATAATTAGGGGTTTTGTAGACCGACTAGGGATTCATATTGGTGTTAGAAAACCAATTGGAAATTCTCGAGTAATCCAGAATTAAATCCCTGGAAACAGTAATATGTTGAAGATTTTGAATCGTTAAGGATTAAATCCCAAAGGAAGAGATGTTCAAGGTTTTACAAATACTTAGGTGTATATGTAAACGTATAATAACGACCATAAAACAGCCAATGCTAGGTTAAATATCCAGACGATGAAAGTTGAAACAGCATGCACATGTACAGTCTCACTACCTTTTCTTTTTCTTCTTCTCTCGTTTCTTCAGTTTCTCCAGGTCTTTCTTTGCGAGTTCGATGATGTCGGAGGTCTCTTTCTCGGGGGCCATTAACGGGGAGGAGAAGGAGCCGGGCCCTCCATAGAACGACTGACGACTGGAGGCCCGAGACAGATTCTTCCTCAAGTTTTCATTCACAGCCTCGCTCTCCAGGAGTTTAGCCCTGTGGGTATTATCCAGGAACACAGAGGAGGAGAACACACAGAGGATTTGATTAATGTGTTAATATGTTAATAAGTGCACAGGATCTTGAGAAGGAAAATAAAGGCAGACAAAATATATTCCATATTTTGATGTGTTCAACTTGATCTCAGAAGTCGGGAATTCCGGGTTGCCGGTCTGATGCATAATCAGGAACGCCCCCTGAAGTCAAGTTCAGACTTCAGGGAGGAGGAACATCAGTAGCCCCAAGTTAAAATCCAACATGGCTGCTACGTGCATCAACAGTAACATTTAAGCAGTAACTATTGTTTCTTATAAGCAACTTGTGTGAAATTAAATCAATTATACCAAAATGATCATGCAAGTTGTATCAGAGGACATGTTGTCGTGTTAATTTTGCGCACAAACTATCATGCAGTATGTTGTTATGGTCAGTTATAAGTTAAAAAAAAACAAAAGGTACTCCTGGATGCGTCCATGTTGCTTCTTTGACTTGATGCCAACTCGCAACTGGAACGCAGTCAACTCGGTTGTGACGACAGAGCTCTCCTCATTGATAACAATTGGAAAAAAGAAGCTGGCGCTCAGAAAGATATGGTAGGTAGGTGGCCTAAAAGTTGTTTACCTGAGGTCCTCAATCTCTTTGATGTAACCATGGATCATGTTTCCAATTTCTTCAGTTCCTCCTTCACCTGGAAAACAAAAACATCAACGTCAACAGACTTCCTGTTTAATAAAGGTTTTAATAAATTTTAAATGAGTATGAAAAAGAGAAAAAAAAAAAAAAAACATGCCGATCATATGTATCCAGTGCAACTTGAGAAGCTTGTTAAATACTTTTGCCAAGGATAAATATGTCTGCAGGTTCCTCCTTACCTGCTTTGGCGAGGGATTGATTGGCCTGGTCACTGAGCAGCTGGGTGAGCCTCGCTCTCTGGGCGTCAATCGTCTCCTGCATGGCCTTCACTCTCACCCTCAGGTTGCTGTTCTCTGTCTGCAGCATGGAGTTCTCGTGGAACATGTCGCTGAAGCTCTCCACACCGTCTTCACCCGTCAGGCGTTTGCCCTGCAGAGGAGAGAGGGGAGGAGGGGGGTAATACAGAGAAAAGTTTGTGTTTTTACTCTTTAGGAGATTCATTTTTCAAGTTTGACTTTTGAACGCTTCAGTCTCCTCACAGTCTTGTACTCCATCAGCTCGATCTGCAGCCGAGCGATCTCCGTCCTCAGAGCGCTGATCTGCTGGCTGGCCTTGTCCTGGTTCACCATCACCTTGTTCTTGATGTTCCGGGCTCGGTTGGCATACTTCAAGGTGTTCAGCGTTTCCATGAAGTCACGGTCGGACGGGCTGATGCAGGCGATCATCACTGTTTGGCTGAGACAAGAACAAGGCAGATGTAAGTTAACGTTTGTGTTCCATAATAATGTTTCATTCATCCAATGATGAGAAAAATCCATCCTCTGCATCTTCTGCCTGCTCCACTTTTCAGAAAAATGTGTGCTAAAACAGGCCGTTTTGGAGATTTTCCCTTCATGACATCACAAAGGGCAGTAACCCCTCCCCTAGGTGGGTGACACTCCCACAGCTAGGTGTTTGTTCTGCCCTCTGAGTCTGCCTTTTCACCGTAAACAATAGGGCATGGAGCAGGAAACGCCCGAGCCAACCAAACCCTTCCAGAGAGGGGGCGTGGTCAGACACAGCTCACTAGCATTTAAAGCTAAAGATTTTTTTTTATTATTATAATAATTATGACAAGTTATGAAGTTTAAATTTTGGTTTCCTTTAGTATAAGTCAAACGTGTAAAACTTCTACAGGTCTAAGAAGTGTTTATCTTTAAAACTAGGAAGAGAAGAAAGAGATTGTGCCTGAGATAAAAAATAAAAAAATGGTGAATCAGTCCTGCACCAACCTGTTTCCTCCCAACGAGTCCTGCAGGAGTCGGGTCAGTTTGGAGTCTCTGTAAGGCACGTGTGAGCTCCTCTTGCTCCGGTCACCTAGAGCGCTGATTACATTCCCCAGAGCGAGCTGCAGCAAGCGAGATGAAAGCAAAGAGAAAAACATATTCAAGGTGGAGCAGCAGATTAGTGTGTGTTGTGAAACTGGAGCTTTGCATGGAACAAATGAATATCAGAGACAATTTAAAAACTTGCTTTTTTTCCCTTTGACTTTTCTTCTAGATATTAAACAAGATGGAGGCCTTTCAATAATCTTGAAAAGTAACCGAAAGCTTCTTAGTCTGGTAAAAGAAGTTATGGTTTTTATGGATTTTCAAGAGCCCAATAATAAAAAATTACACAGTTCAGGAAACGCCACAGAGAAAAAACAAAACTTCATATATTTCTGGTCATCCTTCTGTCGAGTTAGAAGAGCATCCCTGCCTTTATCACTAAATGCATCAATCATGCTGACTTTCTTAATGAAGAAGAACGCCTATCAGGTATATCAGAAAGCCAGGAAAATAAAGGAAACCCTGCTTTAATGAGGAGAATGGTAAAGTCCAGCAAAGAAAATTCTTAATACTTAACATCTGTCTTTATTTTTAAGAAAAATATGCACTGCAGCTGAAAGTTTCATGTAGTTTTTCATAGCAGAAAACTACTCCTGCAAGTTGAAGCTTTGAGGTCTGTCCTTCTGTGAATGATTGTCCTGTTATTCAGAATTGACATGTATAAAATTCCACCACTAGATGGCACTCACACTCTACTGAATAACTGTCTGCGGCCTCTCTGCTTCCCTGAGTGACTTTACAAATCCTGCTGGAAGAACACAGAAGGCTGAAGAAGCTTACCAGTCCACAGTTGATGGAGATGCCCTCTTTGGCTCGGTCGCCCGTCGCTCCGGTTCTCTTCAGCCTCTCAGAACCAGCCAGGTCCACAAAGTGAAACTTGGCCGTCAGCGTCTCATACTCGTCCATCTCAGAGTTTCCGTTGGAGACTCTGTTGTCAGTTTCTTGCTGAGTGACATTGACAGACACAGACATTTTTATTTACATTTCGCTCGCAGTAACTTTGTCATTATTTTTGAATAATAATTAATGAGACTGTACTGACATTGTCGGAGGCACAGACGCGAACTTGGCACAGGTGGATGGTGAAGATGGCGTGAGATCGAGAGCTCTGGACGTTCATCTGAGTGCTGGCTGTGGTGCGAGACAGCGCGCCCAGCTTCAGGCACTGCATCATCTGAAGAGACAAGTTATTAAAAATAAAGCTGATAAAGCAGGAAAAACCTGAAACAGCCAAAACTCCCTGGAACTTATGAAATCAAACGTCAGTGCAGGAACATGTGATATATGTGACTATTAATGAATGATCTATTTGTAAAGTGTTGGTGACAAAGAGGTTCGTATTCAAGAAGTTAGATCTGTGGATAATCAATACTTATGATTGCAATGTAATTGTTTTTCTGAATATATGCATATGTGCATACATGCAAATATTAACATAACATAAATCATTCAAATCAATACAAAATTATGAAATATCTAAGCTTAAAAATCATGAAGTAGTAGCCAATACCGTACGCATTCAAATTAATAGACACATAATGTGAACTGGGGAATGACTCAAAGTTACGATTTGGCATTATTAAGAGTCTGAATTCGTTTTTATTTGAAAACTGAGCAGAACATTTTTGTTTGCAGATTTTAGCAGCGGTAATGTCTCGTTTTAAAGGCTCTTCTTGGTTTACTAGTCAGGCACATGTACATAAATATTGTCTTTTAAATAAGATATTTACAATGTGCAGGGTTTTCCTTTTTCTTTACCTCAGCCGCGGAGGAAACGGTCCGTGTTGTCACACCGACCGTATAGATTCCCCCATTGGCGTCCTCGTGGATCTTGATGTGCGATTTCTGCTTCATGTCTCGTACTGAGTCGAACAGGTCCAGAACTTCCTCATTATAAAGCTACAGGGAAACACAAAACACACACACACACACACACACACACAGGGACATTTAACCAAGAATATCCCATTAGATGATTAATTAAATCAATTCTCAAGTCTCACAGAATTTCTGAAGATTTGGAATTCAAAACATTTCAGGCCTTCATAATACGATCTTGAACTCATTCAGGACCAAAATGAAGATCCTGAAAACTGACAGGAGTACGTTCCACCTATCGCCCTTTCTCCCGTGGTAATGACGCCCTTGATTATCTATACACTAAATTACCTTTAAATTATTTATCTGGCCACATAAATGCAATAGTTTAAGCTAAAAAGGACTAAAGCTGGTTGTCACAAATATTTCTCAGGGGAAATTTAACAGGGGTGATAAATAAGGTAATAATGTTTATTAAAAGGATTAGGCTCTGATATCTAATGTTTATTATCAAATAATGAAAAAGTACTGAGTCTGCACACCAGAAGCTGCTCCAATTAAATCAAATTCCATGTATTGTTTCAGGCCCTCCAGGTGTGTCCATTCACTTGTTCATGTCTGATGAAGGGCAAGGGCCTGAAACGTTACATGTGATATTCCATTAAATCTCATTTAATTGGAGCAGATTCTGGTGTGCAGACTCAGTACTTTTTCTGTTTGGATGCTTTTTGTCCAGCACCCAGTACTTAACTTTCCCCGGATGTGCGATCCTTTTTGACATTATTATCAAATAATGCCTTTAATTTTCCCAGAAACATCTGCTAGGCTGCATTAAATTGAAAAGTCTAAAACATTTTCAGTGTCTCAGGATGATCTGGAATTGGTTTCCATAAATAATTTTGCACCTTTATAAGAACATTTAGGGAAAGTTAATTTACAACCCTCCATAAAAAGACCATGAAAAGTAACTGATAGAGAATAAAGTCTGAAAGTATCACTTTCTGCATAGTGTTGGATTTCTGCAGATCATCCACAAATCATCCACATCTCCGCTTCCAGGTCGTCTGAAGGAATTTAAACACTGTCACTCTCTGATGGAGCAGAACAACTGTCTGCTACATCGTTCCTGTTAACTCTTCCTGTCCAGACTGAGATACCACCACCCCCCCTCCCAGCACCTCCTAACCCCCACTATGACAGCTGCTGCAGTTCAATTGTCAATGTGGATGTTTTCAAATGATGTAGCGCTGCTCTCAAAGCTTGTTAAATGAGCAGTGTCAACAATGTAAGCCTGACCTGTGACATCTCTGTACAGCTCGTCCATCTATGAGTAAGAGGCCGATAGTGTGTAGGTTATGTTTTATCTAAAGGTCATGATGAAAAATAAAAAGACAGTATTTATGCTTCGGTGAAGCTGGGGAGTTTACCTCAAGGAATTGTGCGTTTATTTTAAACTCTGGTACGGGCAGTCCCTGCTCTTGGGCGGCCTGGCGGCGCTCCTCGATGCCCTTGAAGAGATGGTGGACAGCTCTGGGAATGATACCCAGCTCTTCATCCATAATGTTGACATCGAAGCCCGTTCCCATGGTGTAGGTCTTCCCTGAACCCGTCTGCATGAGGAGGAGGAGGAAAAGGAAAATAAAAATTAGTCGTTAATGTTCACATAGCACATTTTTCCCAGATGTTCAAGATGGGAAGCTCAAATGTCGTTATAATCATGTACGGCTGTGTGCGAGATAGCAAGTCTTATACTACCCCTGATGTGGGAGCATTACTAAACATGAATATCTAACAAATATTTATCATTTCACTGCTTCACAACAGTTCAGCAGCATCAAGGACATTCAAAATCAGAAGGGAGATGGAACGTATTTCAAGGTAAAACAATTCTTTAAAGCGTTTATTCCTTTTGCTTTTACAGCTTTAGAAATGTTAGCTTGTTAACAAGACGAGTTATGCTAACATGTTGGATTACTGTATGTTATGTTCCAGGGGTTTGTGTATTTGTTTTTGTGTTTTCTCTCCCTCTCTCCTGTGTGCTGCTTCTCAGCTTCAGTGCAGCCAGCCATTGAACCCACCTGTGGCAACTTGGCAAGCGGGGCATGGGAAGAAAGGGCAGGAGGGAGGAAGCAGCTAGTTGCCAGCGGCTGCGTGTGTGAATGTGTCTTGACATTGAGCGACTTTAGTGAACTCCTTCTGTGGAAGAAACTGTGTTTCCATCAAGGCCTTAGTGTTTTTTTAATAGTTGTATTTTGCTTGTTAGTGTTGGACGTTTGGAAGAAGCTTGTTTTTCAGTTGTGAAGTTTTTTGTTTTTGTTACTAAATCCTTAAAAAAAATAATCAGCTTTTACTTTACTTTACTATATATCCGCAACCCAAGCAGGCAGAGTTCTTGTGACGCAGCCGAGTGGGTCGATCTAAATCTAGATTAGTCCCCTTTAAAGCCACAGAGGCAAACAGGTTTGATCCAGGCCAAACCAACCACTGTCTCTGCTCTCAGAAGTAGGCCAGCTCCGACAGCAGCAGTCACTGGGGAGATACGGGTTAATATGGACACACATTAAAGATGTATGGCTGTTTAAAATAGGTGTTTGTGCACTTCACTTGGAAACGTGTGCGTGCCTTACAGCAAGAGCTCGGTCGCTAAGGCAACCTCAGCAGTAGTGGAGGCGGAGGAGGAGGAGGAGGAGGGGAATGAGGCCTACACTTGCACGTTATTTCCATGTGGTTAACTTAGTGATCGACAACAAAAAAGGGAGAGGACAAGTAGGGCAGATCTGCAATTAATGATTATCTTCAATATCCATTAAACTGCAGTTTATTTTCTAAAAAGACAGTTTTTTCTCCGAAATATTTGAAAAGGTGAAAAAAAAAACGTATAAGAATTTGCACAAGGCAAAGGGTTCATGATTTTTGCAACACATGATCATATTTGACAAAAGAACGCCTGCAAACTGAATCAGGAACATTTTGGACACTTTTGCTTGAGAAAGAATTAAATTAAGACACTTGAATGTGAACAAAAATGTTGCCACTAAATATTATTTTAATTAAGTACTTTATTAAAATACTTCAGGTCCTTCTCTTCTTCTGTTATTGGGAGTTTTCAGAAGTTTAAGGATTTAAATAAACTGTGAAGCCCTCTGAGGAGCTCTCAGTAGGACCCTGATGAAGCCAAAACACGTCCTAATGAAGCTGATCTTTAATCTGCAAGTGTTGCTGGAGCTTTTCGACCTCTTCAAGCCATTACTGCTCTGAGGTATGTTATTAATTTTTCTAAAATTCAATTGAATACAATATGAATTTATGCATACATGTTGTTTGAAAAAATAAATACAAAATATATGTTTGTTTAAATGGACTGAACTGATTCAACTTCTTGAAAATCAAAAATGCTAATATCTGTACAATTAAGACTGGACTTTGCTAGCTAGCCAATTAGCATAGTTCTTTAGCATAGAGAGTAGAAACAGGGGAGAGAATGAGCATGGGCAGTTTTAACAAGAATGTCCTCTAAAGCTTTCTAAGAAACACATTTTATATCAAACTTATAATAAAACGTTCTTTAAACTTTACAGACTGTGCCCTTTTCCCCACATTTCCTACTTTATATGCTAAGCTTATACTGTTTAGCTTCAAAGCAGTGAGGTCAGCATTTATTTTTTCTTGTCTAGCTCACAGAAATAAGCAAGTACGGGTTTTTTTCAAACGATTCCTTCAAAGCAAAAAGGTCATAGAGGTTAAAAGTCCAAAACAGAGCTGTCCTCTGGTTTCCTTTTACCAAAATGTCAACACTTTCCGCATCTCAAACACTAAACCCTTCTCATGCTGTCCTCAAACACAAAAATGCACTGAGCCATTTCTCCACATTCACCCAGCTATAAAGCACCACCAGCGCCACAGCTGTGACACAGAGGACAAAGACTTGCCTGTCCATATGCAAACACGGTGGCGTTGTAGCCCTCTAAGCAGCCCTCGATCAGCTTCTCGGTGCAGGTGGTGTAGATGGCATCCTGCGTGGAGTCCATGTCGAACATGTAATCGTAGGTGAAGGACTTGTCTTTGCCCAGGATCACCTGTGGCTCCCCGGGCATCACATATGTGCAGATATGACATCCTTCTATCTTCTCCCGGGCCAGCTGAGGACGAATCCTACAAAAAACACAGAAAGAAAACAAGAGATGTGAGAGCTTGTTAGCGTGACAAAGAGAAAACACACTCCCTGAATACAAGATTAGGTACTTTCAAAACAATCTAAAGCAATCCACTGCATCATATTTCTGACATTTTACCGATAGTATGCATTACTGGTCCAGCAATTCTGGTATAGCCTTTAACAGATTTAATTCCCTTCTTGCAATATAAGAATTTAAAATCAACACTGTTTAACACTCTGAATGTTTCTCACTCAGAAGAATGCCTATTTTACCTGTTGGAGGTAGACCTGGGTATAATGACCAAGCTTCTACACCATTTTGATAAAGTTAGATGAAGCTCAAGCCAGCTACCCTCAGATTAATTGGTGCCAAATTAGTGGTGAATAAACTGCTTTTTGGATTTGTGTTTGATTCAGGAGAAACATGTTTGAAATACAGGTATTGCGCAAAACACAAACAACAACAGATAGACAGATAAACTGTGAATTATATCCAGTATGTACTTCTTAGTTTTTGTTTAATTATTGCACTTCATATTTTTATGGCAATACTGAACATTGATATCACAACATTTTTTTTCCATATCGCGCTGGCCATGTGTATGTTATCTCCTTGGCACACTACGCTGTTTGGAGTCCCGCAGGGTTCAATCCTTGGACCAATTATTTTCTTATTACGTTTCCTTTAATGTTGTGATTTACTGTTTTTGATTTATTTGTTTTCTTACTGTGAGCTTTACATTTTTTTTTAAATAAATCAAGCTCTACCTACTCATTTACTTATATTCTACCTTTCAAAAGGTTTTAATGGCCAGATTTCTGGTAAAGCTTTCTAAGAAGTGGTTAAAAAAAAAAAAGAAAAAAAAAAACGGGCCCAAGTTTGCTTTTGAAATGTGTGATGGAAGTTCTGCATTTTGAGCACAACATTTGAAAATCATAGAAGTGCATGTTGTCGACAAATATCTTCAAACAAATAAAGCGCTGACAAAATAAACAATAAAAAAGAGATATCTCTTTCTGCAATTTAAAAACATTTCAAACTCTACATTTATACAAAAACACAACGTCTGTCCCTTTGTACTGTAGCTCAGTACAAATTATGTTTTGTAAGGTTGATTAAATCTGGAGACAAGAGAAAGAATGAAAAAGCAGCCTAAAAGCACTATGAAATGTTGGTAACATCATGCAGCAAGTAATGGAAAGAAAATTCCAACCACACCCAAAAACCACTGAGTCAAATCAAAATAACATCAGAGAATCAACACGATTCAGGCTCTGCTGCCAAAGTCGGATTGACTTCAATAAAAACAATACAGGAGAATACTGACAACCTTGCTCAAGGAAATAAATCTTACAGGCTAAAACCTTTACAGCCTTTGCACAGGTTTCATTTAAGATTTTGACGGCCAGTCAGTAAAGCAAAGAAATAAACAGACATAAACATTAGAAAACATGGTTTGAGGCTCTTTTAGGGACTGGATTTAAGTGTAACCTCATGGCTTTAAGACCATTTTGATTTCCCCTAAGTCTTGCAGCTTTTGATAACAGATGACCTTCAAAGGTTTGTGATCCAAAGCATACATTACTGGAGATTTACCAAGCTGATTTTTAGAATCCAAGAATAATTTATGGAGCAATATTAGCTTACCTAAAGAAAAACAAGATTGGACACTTTATAGATGAACCTATCTGTGTTTTCACTGACTCAGCCTGCTGGTGTTGCAGCATTTCTCAAGGATTAGGAGAATTTTTTTTGGCACACTTGCGAGTGCATCCAAGGCCTTGTTCTCATTGCCAGCACAAATCCCTTTTTGGGCATGTATCAAGATTATGTCCAGATTAACTTTATGTCTCACGTTTTTTATTCTTATTCTTAAGCAATCTGTTGCTGTTGATTTTCTAACCTTTAATAAGATCTTCAAGAAAAAATAGTACAGCAATTCTACATTTTTTCATCTTTTCATCCATCCATCCATCTTCTATATCGCTTTTCCCGCTTGGGGTCGCAGGGGGCTGGAGCCAATCCCAGCTGTCATTGGGCGACAAGTGGGGTTACACCCTGGACTGTTGGCCAGTCAATCATAGGGCTGACATATAGAGACAGACAACCAGAAACACTAACATTCATACCTACGGACAATTTTAGAGTCACCAATTAACCTAACCAGCTTTGGACTGTGCGGAGAAGCCGGAGTACCCAGAGGGAATCCACGCTTGCACAGGGAGAACATGAAAACTCCACACAGAGAGGGCCTGTCAGACGGGGAATCTAACCAGGAACCTCCTCACTGTGAGGAAACAGTGCTAACCACTGCACCACCGTGCACCAACATATGACTTTTAGAAGATTCTCTTAACCAAATATGCCAAAACTGTTTGAATGCTCAGTCTTTATCTGACTACATAAAGTTCTTATCACCACCAAAAACTGCAGCTACATTTTTCTTTAACTCAATGTTTTTTAGAGAAAACCAGCCAAGAGTAGGTGTTTTGTACATTCAAGGACACAACAAAGATGCTGCATAAATCCTGCAGCTGCTGAAAAGCACAACAGTTGCTGTGAGGATCAAACATGTCAATCACTTTAATAATTCTAACCATGCAGCCGAGTACAGTAGCACAAATATGAAGTATGTTTACGTTGTACTAAAGAGGAAAAAGAGACAGAACCTTTCATAATCATTAAGGAAATCTCAAGAATTATCTAGATGTGGCTTTCTACTTACTTTGTGAAGAACATGTATTTTGATCATCTTTAATGACATCTGGTTTTATATTTCTGTACGATTCCATCTGCTCCAGATGTGTCGTTTTGATCCAACAACTGCCCAGGGTCAATCCCCCCTCTGACCCAATACTTTGTCCAATAAAACCTGCCAGCTGGGTTAGTACTGATTTATCTCGTCTGTCTGTCTGTCTGTGTTTATCCGACAAAGCCGAAATGTTGCTTCTGATGTCCTGAATGTTTTCCAACAGTCTTAATCTGGCGGGGATTAACTAGTTTAGTGTGGAGAGAAAGTAGTTCTGTGTGTGTCATTCTGCAAGCAAAGTTTGACTGATTCCTCTTGAAGGGTCTGCGATCAAGGACACAGACAGAAGAGAGCTTTTTAAATGTTGTACAGCTGTGCAGTACTATTTTTCCTATTCTATACTTATTTATATCTTGTCGTTTTATTTAAAGCTATTTGTTCCTATTTCTATTTGTTTTGTTGCCGCCTACTGCCTGTTTCTCAAATGTGTGATTCAATTAAAGGCTCAATATCTTGAAGTTTGGTCAAATGTTACAATTCAATGAGGTTGATTGTGAACAAGTGGGGAAATCTTCCAGACAGTTTCATTCTTTAACTTTGAACTAACTCTCCACTCCTGAAGTTTGTAAGAAAAGCACCTGACAGCGGGCCTGCCAGTCTTCTTTCTCTCTGTCCTGCATGGATAAAAGCCTCATTGTGCCTCTAAGTTCAGGGGAAAACAATGCTGTGAGGGGAGTACAGTGCGGCCATTGTATTTGATGAGTGACACTGGATCCCGGTGCGGACACTGACGTTGTGGCTGTAGGATTACATGGCCAGACGAAGGCGAGGGAGGAGAGGTAACGTCCCGCCAGGAGGTCACGACACGTCCACAAATAACTACACAGAACAATCCCTGAATGAGGCAGAGTATGATAGATACAAACTGAAATCTTCATTCTTCTGCTGGTGTTTTAGGTGATACTGCGTCCATATTTATTGACTAAATTTAGGCCAATTTATTTAATCAACCACCTTCAAATATAAGATGCAGCAGAAGCATTAACTGTAACATCAACAAAGACTTTCATGTCAAAACAACTGGGTTTGTTCTACAAGTGCTTATTGACAGTCTGCTGAAGCTGCACTGAAAAATATAATACATAATGGCATAGTGAATCATGGAGTGTCCTGAATAACACGGAGACTCAGCAGATCATTTAGCAGCATCAGAATAAACAGAGACTTGTATTGTAAATAGTTGATGACAGATTCCCCCCAGGGCATATTTAGCTTGGGTCAGCTAGTTTTAAACTGTGATAGGAGTTGGTTTAAAACTTTAGACCTCAGTCAGGACGCAAAAGTAATTGGCCACTATAATGATTCAAGGTAAACTGTTCTGTGAATTTGTAAAGAAATGGTTGTGATGGTTCCAGGTACTCAAACTTGGGGCAACCAATTTTTCCAGCTCTACAATAAAATAAAATAAACCATCTTGGACATGATTATTATATTTTTTTAAGATAAACCTTTAAAGACAAGAAAGCATTCAGCTGCAGCCGAGCCTTTAAGTGCATCAATCAATAAAGAATATCACTTAAGTGATGCATTTTCATTTCTATTTTCCCAGCTTTCTCCGAACAAAGAAAGCCCAAGCCGTTCCAGAGGGGCGTGGTCACATACAGCTCATTTACATTTAAAGCTACAGACACAGAAACAGCCTGTTCTGAGCAGGGCTGAAATAGAGGGGTTTATAGACATGATCAAATACAGGATCAGAGTGGATTTAGAACAAGAAACTTCACAGACATGTTTTGGGGTCCTCTGAGACTTATTCAAACTGGTTGAAACTGGTTGATATTCTTGCACACTTTCCATCCCTGCTCATGCAGACAACATGTGTCTTAATCCATCTAAATTGAGATGCATAATCCAAATGTGTCCTGAATTCAAAGATAGCCAGAAATACCTCATAAAAGCTAAAGAGTAACAACTAGTAATCATTCCCCCTCAACAGCCAGCCACCATGAGCTGCCATTGAGCTTCTTAGTGGTTACAACACGCTACTGAGCAGCGAGAGGACTACACAAAGAAAGACGACAAACCTCCTAATCTGCTACAGTTGTTCTGCAGAGCCGTTGTTCTATTGTTTGGATCTCTGTTGTTGTATTGAGACAAAAAATTTGATCCCAAACCAGAGAAATCAATTAAACTGCATGTCGAATCAATGTTTTGAATCAATTCCGTGTTTCCTTGTTTTTTGAGAC